TGGTCCGATAAGTACTTAGCCTACAAAAGAAAAACGAAAATTTTGGAAGAGTGGTGTTTTATTTTTCAACATAGTCTCCTTTTAGTTCGATACACTTGGCCCAGCGATGCTCCAACTTCTTTAACCCGTCTGAAAAATACGTTTCCTCGAGGTCTGAAAAATACGTTTCCTCGAGGTCTGAAAAGTAGGCTTCCGTGGCAGCGATTACCTCCTCATTCGACTCAAATTTCTGCCCGGCGAGTGACTTTTTCAAGTTTGGAAACAAAAAGAAGTCGCACGGGGCTAAATCTAGAGAATACGGTGGTTGGGGCAGCAGTTCGTAGCCTAATTCGACCAATTTGGCCATGGCGACGGCGGAGGTGTGAGCCCGTGCGTTTGCATGGTGGAAGAGCACTTTTTTCTTCGCCAAATGGGGCCGTTTTTTCTACAATTCGACGTCGAATCGGCCCAATAATTCGGCATAGTACAGTCCTGTGACCGTTTTGCCCCTCGCCAGGTAGTCGAAGTAGATCACACCTTGTGAATCCCAGAAAACGGTGGCCATCATCTTTACCTTCGCCTTCTTCGGAGCGCTTTTTGATTTCGCTGCGCGATTTCCCTTCCAAAAACAAGAATCGAATCACAGACCGATACTGCTCTTTTTCCATCTTTCAAAAATCAACGGACACACTTGCTTTCACACGCTCTCAAAAATAAACTACAACTCCGATCCGGCTGAAATCTTGACAGTAACCATCGAGAAGGTTGTACTACGTGATAGAATATTTCTTTTGCGAGAGTAGCGCCATCAGGCGGTGAGGCTAAGTACTTATCGGACCACCTTCGTATCTGGGGGTGGTGGACTTTAGGTGTGAGAGCTTACCATGTGAGAATTTTGTTGTTTATAAACTAAAAATAACCGAGTAGGTGGTTCGGGATTAGGGGTTAGTAGTTTCGGACGTGGAAGTTACTCGTTTGAGAATATCTGTCATAAAAATAACAATTTCTTTTAATTTATATTTTTTTACGTAACGCTTATTTCTATAAAATCATGAATTTTTGTATGTGGGAAAATGAAATTTTAGGTTTTAATAAAAAATGAAGGGTCATGGCATAATTCCCGGATTCAGTTTTAGCATATAAAAATTCATGTTGATTGGTCTGTTCTTAAGTACAGATGACTATTTTATTGTGTCTGTGAATTATCCAGCTGATCAAATAGTTAATATGATAATGGTTTTAAACAATGTAATGGTCATTTCCTGCAGCAGCTAGGCGGCATACTGAATTATATCTACAAAGGTAAACATCCTTTAATTGGTTGAGTTTATCAAGGCTTGTTCAGCTTAAAATAACTATGACATTTAGCGTTCAGACCATTTGTTAAGCATTTGACCTAGATTGAACCTTGTGAAGGACACCAAAAAATGTTTGAAGAATGGTTTTGAAACTGAACTCGAAAAGAGCAAGAGATTATACTTCATTACGAGTATTTCAAAATACTTTCCATGACCTTCAGAAGGTCATAACAAGGCTGAATTCTAAAATGTGCTTGGTATCGATTAATACTTGTATTACCGACTGCTGACATGAGGATTAAGATATATAACTGCAAGAATAATAACAACATGAACATCATCTTCACTGTACTCGCGATGCCTGCGTTGGAGAGCAAGGCGTCTTCGAAAAAAATATTCTTTAAAAAAATTATTTTGTAATCAAAGATAATTTTTTTAACATTAACAGTGCTCTATTTCATCAATCATTCCGAAGAACGATAGATAACTTTATATTGAATTTTGCCCCTACTTACTGTTAAGTTTTATTTTAAATATTAATTTTTTCATATTTATGTAATACTGCTTCTACTCATTTTTAAAATACGTATAAATTATTTTAATATAATATTTACTGGCTGGATAAGACGTTTATTATGCTGTTGATATAATAATAGTTTTAGGGGAGTGTCGTAATAATTATCATGCTGCAGCAAGACTTGATGGTGAACGTTTTCCAGATAGAAGACATCCTACTTGTATAATAATACAAAGTTTAATTATCAGAGCTCGTGAAGGATAACTTGCTCGGCAATGCAGACGACGCGAGTATAATGAAGATGATGCTCGTGTTATCACTATTCTTGCAGTTATTCCTTTTAATCCTCATGTCAGTAGTCGTCAAATTTAAAGGGAATTCATTATTCCAGAAGCAACATTTCTGAGAATTCTAAATAGGCTTAACTACCATGCTTATCATATCACTCTCATACAGAAATTGAGAATGAAATATATGTAAACGAGTATTTAACTTTGCTGATGGGCTTTACAGATGATAGAAAATGATACCAATTACATCCTTGTTTATGACAAAGCTAAATTTGAAAGTACAATTGTCATTATTATTTACTTGAAAATTCTCACTGGCACAAAGTTGTAGACCATCAGCATCGTTGGAGCCTTATGGTATGGCGTGAAATTATAATGGATATTTGATTGGCCCTTACTTTTTTGAGCGGAATGTTGCTCATTGCTGATATTAATGCTTTACAGTTTGTAGTTAAAGTTTAAACTGCAAACTTTTAAAACTATTTTTTTTCAAAATGGCTTTCCTGATACAGTCATTACAATTACTCAGTCAATTATAATCTAATCAATCCCAAATTTCGAGACAGGTTGTTTAACAAAATTTCCTAGGAAAATACATAGAATTTTGTTAATAAATTAAAAACTGTTTTCTTTTCAATTTAACAACAGGATTCTAATTCAAGAAAAAAAAGCAACGATTTTTGTTTAACAACTAATTTTACATAATTCTTTTTAAAAGGAAAAACTTTTTTTAATTTACTAGTAATTAAAGTTCGTATTATAGTATACATCTACATAGTTCTTTGCTTTTATTCAAAGTATTATAAAAATACTAATTTGTATTTCACTCAATAATGATGATAAAGAGTTGATGGCCACCAAGATGTCTCAATTTCTGATACTCATAACTGTCTACAAGTGCTGTTTTATTTTAGAATACTTTGTAAAAATTCATATACATACTTCAAAGCATGTATAATAGTCATTAATTAGATTTTGGATTAAATATTAAGTCATTTTGAAAAAAATTCTGAAAATTTCAAACGAAAACAGTGCTTTACATAGGCATTATTCATTATCCAAAACTGGTGCTTTGTAGTTATTACAGTTTCTCTACGCTCATTGATTGCAGCTAAGATATTGGTTTCAAAAGAGTATCTAGTCATCTGTAACCTACTCTTACATACCAATTATACCTTGTCTTAAAGGTGTCTGTAGCAGAAAATTATGGAAAATTCATTAAATAAATTCCTTATGATTCATTCACAATTTATTGTTTCTTTTTTTAATACAATAATATTCTGATATTAATATTTCTACATCACAATAGATTATTATTATTATCATTGAACATACAAATCAAAGTCATTCATCAAAATCATTAATAAGTTGTTTAGAAATATATGCCGTTTTTTAATATATGAGAAGTATATATTACTATTAGTATTATTATTGGTATAACTGTATATATATACAAATATTAGATTGGTCCTAAATAAATACAGCAATTACAAAATTATGTGTATATGTATGTATCCATGCATGTATGTATGGGTCTATGTGTCCATATTAAAATTGGTATTACTTTTATGTAATTAGTCAAAAGGATTATAAAAATTATACCATTTAATTTAATTTTGTTTCTATACATTTAATGGGTGTACATGGATATGTCAATAACAAACTTATGTATCTGTATGTATTCAAAAAAAAATTGAAATTTCATAGTGAAATATATTTTCAAAATGAATTCTCATAGTCCCAAAAAAGTTATTTCTTTATATAAATTAATAGTTTGATAGATATGTTAATGATTTTTAAAAACCACATACTGTATTTTTCAAATTATCAAATATCATGCAACTATTTGAAAGTATAATACATGGAATAAGACTTTGTTTTTACTGAAATGTGTTACTTATATCATTAAAAAGGATCAACATTCTTTGATTACAACTTAGCCTTCCATATTTTTACTTTTTAGAATTTTTCATAACTGCTAAATTTCAATTATCGCCTTCTGTCACCTTTTTGTTATGACATGTAATTAATTTTAATATTAATCTGGTTAATCAGTTTATTTGCTTCTTTTATATATTTATTACAATCGAATAGGCATGAAAATTAAAAGTAAATAGTATTAAAATTCATTTAGTTTATAAGTTTATTATTTTATTTAATTTTATTTTTAAGTTTTCTGTTTTACTTAATTTAATTCCGACCATGTCTAGAGATAAACAGATTACGTCTGCAACTTTTTATATGTTATAAATATATTTATAATATATAACTATTCACTGGTTAGATATAGACCATTAAATCTTTAGTTTAAGATCTTAAGAGTAAATAGAGCATAAAATAAAATTGTATATACTGAAAATGTTTTTATTTTTGAATAAAATCCTTGTGTAAATCTAGAAATAGTTCTATTTTTACTATTAAAATAAAAACTATATATTTTCATTTAAATAGCATCATTCCACATCAAAATTATAAATAAATCCTTTTATTGATTTGTATAAATACTTTTATGCATAAGGAAGGATTACATTGAGCAGAAATTTAAAACTTAAAATTTATATCTCTACAGAACTACATATTTAAAGTCTATTACTTTGAAAAGCAGAAAATAACAATGTTATATTATGTTAATTTATTTCCAGTAAGTAGAAATATAGTTAAAAATGTGCTATGGTTAAGATTATATCATTAACTTTTTATTAGCTAACATTAATAACATGTTGTTTTTGTGATAAGTGATTATTTTTGCATAGTAATAATTTTGTTTTATAATAAAAACTAAATAGTCAAATATTAATTAAATGATACGTAGCTAACAAGGTTACCACTGCAAGTTTTTACACAGTGTAACATTGATAATACATAAGTATTAGTGGTAATTATTTTTTGGGAAACAGAACAAAATCTACAGCATACCTTCATCAAAATGCATAATTAGCTCCTGCTCACTATACTTAATTTTTAAAGTTCCTTTAAATAATAATATCAATGTACTGTCAAGAACTTTAAAAACTGTAACACTTTTAAAAATATTAGTCATCTTTACTATAAATTATCAAAAAAAATAATCTCAAATCGCTCAACTATTTCACCGTCTAAATTTGATTTTTAAAGGATTTTAATTGGAAAATGTATATAAATAATTAAATAACACTCAAAATTGTACTAATAATCAATTACAATATCTCTTTTGTGTTAAATGTATATCTTTATCAAGAACCTATCATTTCATCTAGCCTACTATTTAGTCTAAATACTATAAAAACAATAACAAGCCGGTTAAGCCGGGTAACCTGTATAGCTTTCATCCATAATACGGGTAACAATGTCTTAGTTTAGTTTATATAAAAAGATATGAAATTATTCAAACGATTGCTCCGATTATGCTTATTTTTAAAACAATATTTTTCTTTTCGTGGTATTTTTTGGATGATATTACTAACAAAATCAATATTCTTTTAAAATATTTTTAGTAATATTATAGCAATTTATAATCAATTTCGTTTGATTTTATATACTCAACTATAATTGGCACAGCTTTTCTGAATCAAGCTAATAATAACTATAACAAAATATTACATGTTAAAAATATATGAAAACATCCTTTCATATGTAACAGGGTATTTCTTTCGGGGCACGGATAGAAATCTTACCCGTTAGAGAAAGGATATTCCTTCTGTTGCGAGGCTGACCGCCACCTCGATTAGCTCGTTCGGATCAGCTCGATCTTCTGACCTCTCGCCCTAAAGCCCGAGAAAGCCCACACGTGGAGGACACGTGCGGCAATTTCGGGTTGCCCAGTGACTCAAGGTCGGGCAGGTTCTGTTATGGGCGATAGGAGAGGAAAATCAAAGGGAGTTCGAAAGAAAAAGTCTCAGCCAGTTGTCGCAAGATTTACAAATTTATTCTCCTTTGCCGCGTTAGGTCATACAAAGGTAACGCCGTGGCCGAGAGATTTCGCGGGGTATATCGCGCTCGCGATGAGAGAGAGAAAGACGCGTACTATCTAGTTTCGCTTTTTGGCCGCGCGCACTTACATTTAGTGTCGGGAACTTACGCTGCGGGGTCGAGTTGCTGCTGCCGAAAGTTTCCTCGACGGTATTCGCGACTTGCGTCGGTTTCCGGCCCTTCCGCGCCGCACGCCTTTGAGTCAAAGTTTTCCCTGCCCGGGGTCGCAGTTGCCCGCGATCCTCAACTGTCGCCTCAGATCGCTCTGGGTGACTGGCAGTAATGGGCAGCGAATGACCTTCCCCTGGGGCGTGATTCTTAGCGACCTTAGAACCACCGAGACTTCACGCAATGTCGGTCGAGGCGTTCCTTCAATTCCCAGTGCACTCACTCGTCGCTCTGGTTTTTCTTGCCCGCAGGTCCGGACTTGACTCATCGTACGCATTCCTCACTCCTTTGTCGCGCACGCCGGCCGGCGGCCTAATTGCTCTTTTTCCCCTTCCCCTTATTCCTACTGTCCCGTGCTACGCGCGCCTAACACGCGCTGGTCGGCGCCCTAATCTCTCTCCTTTCTCCCACTTTTTCGCTCGTTCGTCTCGCGGGCGCTTCTCCTTCTCTGGTTTGTTATCACGGCTTCTACGTCGCCCCACGCGATAGAGGCGCTTAGGTTTCACCTTTAACGAGTGACACTCGTTACAGCCTCCCCCTAGTCGACCGATGTAGGGCCGACATCGTCGACGATCTGCGTTCAAGCGCTTTGGTGATGTGATGAATGAGAGATGGACGGGTAGGGATTTTCGGCGGGATTGGATGACCAGGGGAAACAGACTTCGAACTTTTCTCTTTCTCGCTTGGTTTTATTTATTTCTTTCTATCCGCCGTCGTACAACATGTTCTCCTGTTCTTCGGGTCCGGTTCTTCTCCTTTTCCTTCTGTCTCGTCGGATAGCTCCGTGCTCCTCTATCCGCGGACACCGGCTGGACTTAGCTACCCCAGGATGCCCACAAATGTAGCAGCCCTGGTCGTCCTTCCGCGATTTTCCTTCGCGTACTCCCGCGGGGTCGACGATGTTGGGATTGGGCTGCCGCAGGTGTGCCCGACCTTGCATCTGGGGGGCTTGATTGGGGCGAGGGCGTGATTTTTCCCTCGCCCGTTCCCCAGATCGTCCGCCACCCAGGTTGATCGTGATGTTCACCGAGCCGAAGCCCGACGGAGACGCATCACCGCTTATCTTACAGGGCGAAGGACTTTGTCTTCGCCCTGACGTCCGAGTGGCTGAGGTCGAGCGTTCGGGCAGCCTCAGAGGTGTCTGCCCTAGGAACTTCTGGGCTCGCCGTATGCTCACGATGGCGTGGCGGTAGGCCTGCCATCTCTGCACCCGGTCTACCCAGGGCGTGACGTAAGGGTGGGTTCCCGGTAGGTCGTTGTACGCCTGGAACTTCGCCATTACCCGCGTGTGTAAGCGGCTAATGAACTTCCAGGCGTTTTCCAATTCCCAGAGGTCCCTCTCTATCACTTACCACCGCTCCTCTGGCGACGTCGCCTCGCTCCATGATAGTGACGAGGTGGGCCAGTCTTCTTCATCGAAGGGGCGGTCGGGCGTCGGTACTCCGTGGCCCTGACGGGTCAGATGCGGTTCACTCGCCAGTCCTAATCTCCAACTTTGAAGGGAGTGGGGCGACGCTTCCGATCGAAAAAGCTCGCCTGGCGCCCTTGCTCTATTCCTGATCTATTCGTTGCTTCCCGATATAGCGCGGGCAGACTTCCCAGGTGGTCTGCCCAGTTCTGCCGTTCTCTCTCGTCCTCCTTTCCGCTAACGAGAGAGTCTTGAGTACGGCGCAACGTATGGGGCGGGATCGGCTGCCGCCCGTAATTCAACATCGCTGGACTCATTTTCGTCGTGCTATGTTTCGCTGTGTTTAACACGAATACCAAGTCACTGAGTCTTACGTCCCACTCATTGTGCCGTCCTTCGAGATACGACTTAATCATCGTCTTGAGAGTGCGATTATAGCGCTCCGTAGGGTTCGCCCTCGGACAGTAAATGGGCGTCAACTCATGAAGGATACCTTGCTCCGACAAATATTCGTCGAAGTATCGGTTTTTGAATTCCGTTCCGTTGTCCGACAGGAACGTCTCCGGCGTGCCGAAACGCGTCAATATCTTCTCATGGAACTCCTTCGCTATCGTCCTAGCGTTAGCTTTTGGGATCGGTACACACTCTACCCAGCGTGTGAAAAGATCCACGAAGACAAGCATATATGAATATCCGCGTGCCGTCCTGGGCAGCGGTCCGAATATATCACCCGCCACGACTTGCCAAGGTCGGCTTATCGAGCGACGTCCCATACATCCGTAAGGGAGACGCTGTTCCACCTTGCATTGCTGGCAAATCTGACAGACTCGTACGTAATTTTGGACGTCTTTGAGTAGTGAGGGCCAAAAATAGAAGCGCCGAACGCGGGCGAGTGTTTTCTCTCGCCCTAAGTGGCCGGCAGTGGGGACGTCGTGGCACTCCTCCAATACCTTTTTTCGGTATTCGCTGGGCACGACCAGCTTCCAATTTTCGTCCTCGCTCATGTCGTCGGACGAGTCCCGGTCGGCGGAATAAAAGTACAAATTTTCCCCGGCAATCTTCCACGTAGGCCACGACTCCGGGATCTCAATGATCTGCTTCTTACGATCCATAAACCATTTGTCCGTGGTTTTATTTGCCCAAGTGAGGGCGCTTACTGCCGCCCCGGACTCCTCTTCTTCAAACATCCTAGATATAGCGTCGGGTACTGCATGGAGTGCCCCCTTACGATGCTCTACTCCGAAGGAATAGCCCTGCAGCTTTAGCGCCCATCTAGCCAACCGATTTGTCGGGTTTTTCATGCTTTGTAGCCACCGCAGGCAACTATGGTCGGTGATCACCTTGAAATGGTAACCTTCCAAGTATGCTCTGAACTTTTCGGTGGCCCAAACTACCGCAAGGCACTCCCGCTCCGACACTGAAAAATTCCTTTCCGCTTTGGAGAGTGCCCGACTGGCAAATTCAATCACTCTCTCCTCCCCTTCCACGGTCTACGTCAAGACCGCTCCCAATCCGGAGTCGCTCGCATCAGTTTGCAGGACAAAATCGCTATCAGGATCGGGAGGCTGGAGGATAGGGCCCGAAATCATGCGGCTTTTAATTTTCATAAAAGCCGTCTGTTGTTCTTTGCCCCATACGTAAGGTTCCTTTTTTCTCGTGAGCTTTATCAACGGTTCAACAATAGTCGCGAAGTCATCGATAAACCTCCTGTACCAGGATGCCATTCCCATAAAACTGTGCAATTTGCGGATTGATCGGGGTATCGGATACTCGACGATGGGTTTGACTTTTTCGGGGTCCGGCCAGATTCCTTCTCGGTTGACCAGCACTCCCAAGTATCTCACTTCTGATTTGCTGAAAACGCTCTTGTCCTGGTTTACCGTGAGACCTGCGCTTTTCAATTTCAACAGTACTCGCCTCAGATGTTCTTTATGATCTTCGAACGTAGCCAATACTATTATAATGTCATCTAGGTAAGCGAAAGCAAACGGATCCATTTCATGTCCGATCACCGAGTCGATTGCTCTCTGAAAGGTCGCCTCCGCGTACGATAGCCCGAAGGGCATGCGTCGAAATTGAAAGTGACCCATGCCCGGTACCGTGAATGCGGTGATCGGGCGAGACTCTTTCTTCAGGCTGATCTGATGGTATGCCGAGCTGAGATCGAGCGTCGATATATATTTTGCATTTCTCAGACGCCGCAAAATATCCTGCATGTACGGGATTGGATAAGCGTCAGGTTCGGTCACTCTGTTCACTTCCCGAAAATCTATGCAAAAACGATACGTTGCGTACCATCGCAATGGGGCTTGACCACCCGCTGTTCGACGGTTCTATCACGCCGGCAGCCAACATTTGCTTCACTTGGCGATGCACTTCTTGTTCTACTCGCGGTGAGACGGGATAGTACCTCTTCTTAATCGGGCGGGCGTCGCCCACGCTGATTTCGTGCTTCACACCGATCGCGCAGCCCAGTGTTCTCTCGGGCTCGGGCAACAACCGCCCTGCAAGCTCTTTTATCTCCTTGCGCTGCGATTCGGACACATCTGCGATGCAAACTCGCGAGCTCCATCGGCACACTCACTCGCTCGTCTTTCAAAAGTAGCGTGTTGTCCGTTGGATCGGGGATTGCTTTGAATGCCTTCATGAAATTCATACCGGCGTAGCACTCACTTTCCAGATGAGGAATAATTGCTACTC